TTTAATTTTTTTTAAGTTTTACAAAAGGAGCAATAAAGCAGTTAAATAGATTTCTTTTTTTCAGGACTACTGAGAGACTTTCGTATACATTATGAGTCCTCAAGTGGGAATATAGTATGTAATATATCTCAAAGTTATTTGACCACAGCAAATGGTCTTTTTCTTAATCACTTAAAAGTCTTGGTGGAATCAACCCAAATGCCCATTGATAATAGACTGGATTGGAAAAATGTGGCACATATACACCATGGAATATTATGCAGCAATCAGAAATGATTAGTTTGTGTCGTTTGTAGAGACACCGATGAATCTGGAGAACATCATCCTCAGCAAACTGACACAAGAACAGAAAATGAAACACCGCATATTCTCACTCATAGGCGGGTGATGAAAAATGAGAACACATGGACACAGAAAGGGGAGTACTAAACACTGGGGTCTATTAGGGGGAAAAGGGGAGGGCCAGTGGGAGGGGGAGGTGGGGAGGGATGGCCTGGGGAGAAATATCAAATGTGGGTGAAGGGGAAAAGGAAAGCAAAGCACACTGCCATGTGTGTGCCTATGCAACTGTCTTGCATGCTCTGCTCATGTACCCCAAAACCTAAAATCCAATAAAAAAGTTAAAAAAAAAAAAAAGTCTTGAGTTTCCACAGAATCATAGGTTGGGAATCTCTGAATTACCTGATAGTTTGTAACCATCCTTAGCATCCTTATGCTATTGTAGTTTGTAATATGCTGAAATACTTATTTGCCTCCATTTTCTGACTTATGGCTTCCAAAGCCTTTGTAGATAAAGGTGGTAGGAGAAACTTTTGTTCTAATATTTGGTTTTTGATATCTGGTACCTGGCACAGAGCTCCTAAGACCTTTGTAATTTCCTGAATGATAGAAATGTCTGACACGGAGTTTCTAAATCTTAAGAATTTCCTAGGTAATGGGAAACGCTTGTTCTAATGAAGTGACTCTTGGTGGGCCCTGAGATAGCCTCAGGATGGGAGGCTGGGTGTCAGGGGAACCAACCATGTAGTTAGAGGTTTGAAACTTTCATTCTCAACCCTCCCTCAAGCTCCTGAGAGAGGAGAGAGGCTGAAGGCCAAGCTGATCATCAATGGCCAATAATGTAATCAATCAAGCCTACCCTACATAATGAAACCTTCATAAAAAACCAGAAGGAAAGGACTCAGGTGAGGCTCTGAGCAGCTGAACCCATGAAGGTTCCTGGAGGGTGGAGAACCCAAAAAGGGCAAGAAAGCCCCATGACCCTCCCTATACCTCAGCTGATACATCACTCTATCTGCTTGTTCATCTGCATCCTGTGTCTTATCCTTTATAATAAACAGGTAAAAGTAAGTCAAGCATTGCACTGAGTTCCAAGAGCTGCTCTAGCAAATTAATCAAATCTGAGGAGGGGGTCATGGGAACCCCAGTTTACAGCCAGTCACTCAGAAGTATAGGTGACAACTTTTAGACTACCTCTGACTGGCATTTCAAATGGGGGCAACCTTGTGAAATGGAGTCCTTGACCTATGAGATCTGATATTATCTCCAGGTAGCTAGTGTCAGAATTGAATTATAGAGCACCCAGCAGGTGTCTGCTAGAGAAGTGCTTGCTTTTCATGTAAAGAAATCTCTCCACACATCTGGTGTCAGAAGCATTGTATAAAATAGTGTGTGACGGCAGAGAATAGGAAAAGCACTTTTTTTTTTTCTATTCTTAATATAGTTATTCTTGGAACTCAAGGACAAACCTTATTTAATACATACAAGGCAGCTTCGATAAAATGGACTTTGTCTTCAAGATTAATAGGTATACTGGCATAATTGATAAGCCAACCTTTAATAGTTAGGATGCAGCCTTGGCTGCTGTTACAAAAAGGCCAAAAATAAGAGTAGTGCATTAGTCTGTTCTCACATTGCTATAAAGAACTACCTGAGATTGGGTAATTTATAAAGAAAAGATGTTTAGGTCAGGCATGGTGGCTTACACCTATAATCCCAGCACTTTGGGAGACTGAGGCAGGCAGATCACCTGAGGTCTGGAGCTTGAAACCAGCCTGGCCAACACAGTGAAACCCCATCTCTACTAAAAACGTACCAAAAAAAATAGCCAGTTATGATGGCAGGCACCTGTAATCCCAGCTACTTGAGAGGCTGAGGCAAAAGAATCACTCGAACATGGGAGGCAGAGGTTGGAATGAGCTGAGATCACACCATTGCACTCCAGCCTGGGCAACGAGAGCAAAACTCTGCCTCAAAAAAAAAAAAAAAGAAATGAAAAGAGGTTTAATTGACTCACAATTCCATAGATTGTAGAGGAAACATGGCTGACGAAGCCTCAGGAAACTTACAATCATGGCGGAAGGTAAAGGGGAAGGAGGAAGAGAGAGTGAAGAGGGAGGTCCTACACGCTTGTAAACAACCAGATCTCCTGAGAACTCACTCCTCATGAGAAGAGCAAGGAATTCCACCCCCATGATCCAGTCACCTCTGACCAGGCCCCTATTCATCATTGGGGATTACAATTGGGCATGAGGTCTGGGTGAGTATGCAGACCTAAACCACATCAGTGCGCTTAAATAAGGCAGCACGTTTTTCTCAAGCTCTAATTGCAGCCCCAGGGTGTGGAGGCTCTTTCTGTCTGGTTCCATCATCCTTCTCCGATGAGTATGGAGCCTCCTACCCTCTCTGGGGTGCTCCACCCTCCAGTGACCTTTGTGAGTTCAGCTGTTCAACTTCTCATGGTCCAGGATGGCTGTTGGAAATTGACCCATGACCCACCCACATTCCAACTAGTGGGGTTAGGGAAAGGGGACAACATGGGAGGGCGTTCCCCTTATTTTTATGGCACAACCTGGAATTGGCATCCATACTGCTGCTTTGTCACCGTTGGTTAGGGTCACATGATCACACCTAGCTGCAGCACAGGCTGGAAGCAGTGCCCCTGCTGAGCTAATATATAGATTGCCTTTACTGAAAAAAAAAAAAAAAAAAAAAAAAGCATAGATATTGGGGTTTGAGGGGAGGTCTTTCAGCCTTCACTAAATACCTCTGGAAGGAGTTTTAAAAGATATCCCATTTAATTGGCATATTATATGAAAAAATATCAATGAAAATTAGGACGGAGATAAAAGTAAAAAGACCTCCAAGAAAGGAACAATGATTTCCAGATTTAGTGTCATTAAATCAGTGCTATTCTTGTTATTTCTGTGTTTTAGAAGACAGAGACAATCTGTAGAATGCTCCATTTTTTACATGACACCCAAGCAGCTGATTCACAAGTGCTGCAGAGAGCATTCTGACCAGATGGCTGACACGCGTTGCTTGCCTGTGTGTGCAAAACAGTTCAGTGTATTAGAAACAGCAGGAGCTTCAGGGTCAGAAATACCAGGATGTGCACTTTGGCATTGTCACTTTCTAGATGTGTGACGCTTCACAATCTGCTAATCAAAACCAAAGCCCACCAATGTCTGGCTTTTCCTTTGAATCCTTTGAATGGTATTGGCTACCTCTTTCGGAGAGTCTCATTTCAGTGCGTAAATGTTGCTTCTTCTGCTGCAACCCTGCCTCTGCAAGACACCTAATTAACAGCCACATTTTCAAAGGCACCTAACAAAAGCCTCCCTGTGTGTCTCAGCACAAGGACTCTCATTAGTGAAGCAGGGTTGGGTGATTATTTATACCACTTCTATAATTACAAATTCTGAAAGCTAATTACAATTATCCATCAGTATTTCAACATGCCAGGGCTGAAGATCTTAACCTTCCTTGAAGCATTGTGCTTCTCTCTCTTCTCATTCTAATCCTCCATTTGGGCCTTTTTGCTTTCCTTTTGAAAACTCTCCAACCCTCAAAGGCTGTTTGTTTTCTATACAGTTCTTCAAGCTCCCAGCTGTCAGAAGAGCTATTTGTTTGTCATCTTTGAAATGGGAAGGAAAGTGCCAACAACTGCTTCATCCTGATGCCTCAGCCGTCCACATAAATGTTTGCAAGATGGGAGGCTCAGGTTGCAGCCGCTGTGCCTGTTCCTGGGTTCAGCTCAATGTGTTCCTCTTGTCTGTCCTTCAACTAAAGGGCTCTCTGCTGCCACCTGTCAGGGCCTCCAGGTGTCTCTTGTAAACACCATGTGTAAATAGCAGCCATTAGTTCCAGCAATGGTTCAAACCGGGAGGAAAACGAAAATATCAGAAGTTTCTTTTAATTAAAGCAACTGCATTGAGAGGACTCATCTGACATTGTCTTGCAAGTAATTATTAAACTGTAGGTGCAACAACACAGAGAAGCATCATGTTGGTTACTATAGGGAAACAGTCCCCACATCACCTGTGGGTACCCCAAGTTTGGTGGTGACAAAGGATTGAGAAAAGGCAAATTAAGAGAAATACTGGGACCAGGGGGCCATCACTTGTTGCTGGAGGCAGTGAAGGCCCGAGCTCTGATCTCTCACACTATTTATTGGTTACAATCACTTTGATCTGTAGGGTAGGGGTGGAGTGATGGTGGGGAGAGGGTGACGTGGTGGTGAAGTGAGCCAGAACTGAATCAGTGGCCAGAACTATGTGCCATTCCAAAGACTGATAACAGTGGTGGCTTGGGAGTTTCACAAAACAAGTACGTGTGGTTATCTTTAGCCTATTATCTAGGTACAGCTGGTGGAACTCAGGCCTTACACGGAGCCTGCAAGTCTGGCTAAGTTGTAGTGCTAGGAAGGGGTTTTATGTCCTTGAGCACAATGTTTATGGTAACAGAGCCGAGGTCACCCTGCACATGAGGCATGGAGAGGCCTTCCTCCTCAGAGGCCTCCTGCGGCCTTCACAATTTGTTGTTCCTGATTTCCTTTATACATAAAACCAGTTTATGTAGGCACACAGTAAACCCTTCCTCCCTTGCTGCTTCTCCCAACAGCTGATGTCATCACCATTATGGCACCACCATCATCATAATCACCTCAACACATTGGTATGGAAGTTCCACTCGCCAGGTATACAACCTCCACAGTGGGCATGGGAGTTCATGCTGACACTAACACCCTCCAGGGCTGCTTAAGCACCAGCCATATGCTATTTTACACATGGAAGTGCTTCTGGAAATTGTCCTTTAGATTACATCTCAAATACCCGAAGGAAGCTGATTTTTCCAGGCTTGCAGTAGCTTCTGGTTTAAAATGACATCTGGCAAAAAGCTTCTCACCAAGGGAGTTTGGATGGCAAGAAGGAAGAAAATCCATGCCACCACCAAGAACTGGGTTTGATTATCAACATTTTCTAGAATCTAGGGGAAAGTTTCTCTACTTCCAAGGCTAATGGTAATCGATTGGAAAGCATACTCACTGAATCAACTTTGAGGGGTCACTAAAAATTAATAAGAAAGCCTGATTGTTTGAAAGTGACTGACAACTTTTACCTAAATGCCTTCTACTTTATCAGCTAGAAAATTGGACAGCCATCACCTTCCTGAGGGGGTGTTTCTTTTGTCAGGCATAGAGGTATTTCTACCCTCTCTAGCAAAAACTGAGAGGAAGGAATTAGGAAAGATGGAAGGCAGGGGTCGCTTTGGTAGTAGATCCTATATCCCAGCAGGTGTTGACTGCCAGTAACAGGCACAAGAGAAAATTTTATCTCAGCATAGAAGAGCTACTTTACAAGAAAGACACTGAGAATTTGACTATAATCTGTGTTCGTTTCCCTCTCTTCCATCTGTACTTCTTAAGATGAATTCCAGATTATACTCAGGTTGAGAAATAATGGGATCAAAAGCAATGCAACATGTTTGCATGTGAATACGAAGCCCAGTAAATATTCTTCTCACTTGAGAATCAGCACACAAATATGAAAAATAGATTTTGATTATAGTTTACAAATGTTCTGTCTTTTCTTGCCATAGGATTATATTTCCCCATTATGTTTTACTAAGGCATGGTCATGTGACTTGCTCTGGCTAATGGGAGGTGAGCAGAGTAATATGTATTGCTTTTGATTGAAAGCCTTAGGAGCCAGCATGTGACCAGTATGTTATCTATATCATAGAGCCATCATGATGGCCAGAGAGAACCTGCTCTGTCAACTTGGGTTCCTAGGTGACAATGACATGGAACAGAGCCTCAGGTGATTAGTAGTAGATGGCTAATGTGGGAAGAAATAAGAAATAGCCACACTGTATATAGTAACCCTCATTCATCATCAACATCATCTGCTCCTGACATCCAACCATCAACATCCTCATGGCTTGATGACCTAGAATCACCCAGGGCAGATGATCCTTCTTCTGACTTAGCGTCAGAAAGTCAATTGTAGCCTAACACAACATCACAATGCCTACATCATTCACCTCACTTTATCTCATCAGGCATCTCACATCAGCACAAGAAGGGTGAGTGCAGTACAATAAGATATTTTGAGAGCAAGAGAGAAGGTACATTCACTTAACTTTTATTGCAGTATATGGTTATACATGCTGTATTTTACTATTATTGTCTTTAATCTTTTACTGTGCCTAATTTATAAATTAAACTTTATCATAGGTATGTAATATGATCTGGCTGTGTCCCCACCCAGTTCTCATTTTGAATTGTGGCTCCCACAATCCCCCTGTGCTGTAGGAGAGAGCTGGTGGGAAGTAATTGAATCATGGGGGCAGGTTTTCCCCATGCTGTTCTTATGACAGTGATTAAGTCTCATGAGAGACTTACAGAGGGCACATCCCCTGCACAAGCTTTTTTGCCTTCTGCCATGTAAGACCTGCCTTTGCTCCTCCTTTGCCTTCTGCCATGACTGTGAAGCCTCCCCAGTCATATGGAACTGTGAGTCCATTAAACCTCTTTCTTCATAAATTACCCAGTCTTGGGTATTTCTTTATAGCAGTATGAAAATGGACTAATACCAAATGTATGAATAGAAAATGCATTGTGTATATATAAGATTTGGAACTCCCCACAGTTTTGGGCCCCTTCTCGGGGTCTTGAGATGGATACTCCATGGATAAGGGAGGACGGTTATATATACCTAACACCACAGGTACTATAAGTTCCAAATACCATGGGTCATAACACATAAAGCCAAATTTGGAGGAAAAAAAATTAAAAGAGAAACACATAAATGTAAAATAATACCAGGAGATTTTTAACACTCAATTTGGGAATTGATAGAATACTCTAACTAAAAAATAGTTTGCATGTAGCCTATTTGAATAAACTGATCTCTAAAACCTGACCTAATGGACATATAGAATTCTGCAATCAAGAGAAAATATAGTCTTTGCAAACCCCTAAAGTGTAAACTAAATCTCAATAAACAACAAAGGATTAATATCCCACCTCCAGGGTTCAAGTGATCCTCTTGCCTCAGCCTCCCAAGTAGCTGGGATTACAGGTGCCTGCCACCACACCCAGCTAATTTTTTTGTATTATTAGTAGAGACAGGGTTTTATCATGTTGGCCAGGCTAGTCTTGAACTCCTGACCTCAGATGATCCACCTGCCTCAGCCTCCCAAAGTGCTGGGATTACAGGCATGAGCCACTGTGCCTGGCCTGGAAATAAATTTTTAAAGATAATGGTGAAAATTTTATGTGTCCAGAAATCAAGAAATGTACTTACAAATGACTTGTTAATGATAGAATAAGCCATGGTAGAAATTAGAATAGATATGGAATACACATATAATAAAATATGTCATATCAAAACATGCTAGGTCCATCTGTATAAAGCCATAAAGAATGGTGTCAGAGTAGAAGAAAGTCTGAAAACCAGTCAGAAAATAATTTATCTTATGAAAGCAGAGAAAGAATAATAGAATAAATGTGAAGTGTATGTAAGATATTAAAATTTGAAAGAAATTAGAAATCAGAAAATAAGCATATGGGAACTCAAGAAAGCTAAAATGTCAGTGACATAGTTTGGCTTTCTGTCCCACCCAAATCTCATGTTGAATTGTGATTCTGAGTGTCGGAGGTGAGGTAGAGCCTGGTGAGAGGTGGTTGGATCACAGGGGTGGTGTCTAATGGTCTAGCAGCATCCCCCTAGTGCTGTTTCATGATAGAGTTCTCACAAGACCTGGTTGTTTGGAAGTGTGTAGCCCCTCCTGCTTCATGCTTTCTCTCCTGTTGCCATGTGAAGATGTACTTGCCTCCCTGTCATCTTCTGCCATGACTGTAGGTTTCCTGAGACTTCCCTAGACATGCCTCCTGCACAGTCTGTGGAACTGTGAGTTAATTAAACCTCCTTCTTTATAAACTCTCCAGTCTCAGGTAATTCTTTATAGCAATGTGAGAACAGACTAATATAGTTGGTTTTTAAATACACCTAATAGAGTTAATAATTTTTGGCAAGAGTTTTCTAGGAAAAGGGAAAGAAACAAATAAAAAAATGTTAAGGATAATATTATGATATGCAAACTAATAGGAAAATACTATGAATAAATTCTTTCAAGGCTGGGTGCAGTGGCTCACATCTGTAATGTCAGCACTTTGAGAGATCAAAGCAGGTGGGCCACCTGAGGTCAGGAGTTCAAGGGCAGACTGGCCAACATGGTGAAACCCTGCCTTTACTGAAAATACAAAAATTAGCGGGGCACCCATAATTCCAGCTATTCAGGAAGCAAAAGAATCACTTGAACCCAGGAGGTGGAATCTGCAGTGAGCTGAGATCACACCACTGCATGCCAGCCTGGGCAACATAGTGAGACTCCATCACACATACAAAAAAATTCTTTTCAATACTTTAAAAACTGTAAAAAAATATAAAGTGAAAAACCCCACAGCAAATATTTAAAAAGCGAATAATTCCATGTTTAAAAAATATCGCCGGGCGCGGTGGCTCACGCCTGTAATCCCAGCACTTTGGGAGGCCGAGGCGGGTGGATCACGAGGTCAAGAGATCGAGACCATCCTGGTCAACATGGTGAAACCCCGTCCCTACTAAAAATACAAAAAATTAGCTGGGCACGGTGTCGCATGCCTGTAATCCCAGCTTCTCGGGAGGCTGAGACAGGAGAATTGCCTGAACCCAGGAGGCGGAGGTTGCAGTGAGCTGAGATCGTGCCATTGCACTCCAGCCTGGGTAACAAGAGCGAAACTCCATCTCATAAAAAAAAAAAAAAAAATCAAACGTTAGAAAAAGATAAAATGCCTGCAAATTTATTTGAGGAGACTAGCATAACCATAATTACAACATCCATATCAAATAGCAAGTTAGAACCCCATCTTTTACTTTAAAATCCTAAACAAAATATTAACAAACATAATCCACGTAATCCAGCATGATTTAAAATGATAATAAACCACAAGCAGCTTGGACTTATCTCAGAAATGCCAGGTGGATTCAGTGTTGAGAAATCACCGAAGGCATTTTACCACATTAATAGACTAAAAGAGAACAATCATATGATAATCTTAACAGACACAGAAAAAAAGTTTTTGAAAACTTCTAACACCAATTCATGAAAAACTTCATATCAAACAGAAAATAAAGGGACTTAATTAATTTGGTAGAGAGCATCTTAAAAAAATGTTACAGCAAATGTTATTCTTAACAGTGAAGAAACAGGTAATGGTGTTCACTGTTCCACTTGTATTTTTAACTTTATAGTAAGAACTTTGGTCAGTTCAATAAGGCAAAAAAATAAAGACATAAAAATTGGAATGAAAGAAACAAAAATATTGCTATGTTGTGGTTACCCTGCAGAGAGGCCATAAACTCTCTTTTCAAAATGTGGTTGGGATTCAAAATGGGGAAGGATAATAGCATGCCTCTACAAAGAGGGTATGGAAAGCTTATTACTCACATAATGAGGCTTTCTGAGCAGAGCAGGGCCTGGACTTTTCTTTCTTTTTTTTTTTAAGACAGGGTCTCACACTGTTTTCCTGGCTGGATGATCACAGCTCACTACAGCCTCAACCTCCTGGGCTCAAATGAGCCTCCCACTTCAGCCTCTTGAGTAGCTGGGACTCAAGAGCATGTGCCACCATACCCAGCTACTGTTTGTATTTTTTATAGAGACCAGCTGTCACTATGTTTCCCAGATTGGTCTCAAACTTTTGGGCTCAAGTAATTCTCCTGACTCAGCCTCCCAATGCTGGGATTACAGGCATGAGCCACTGTGCCCTTCCTTGACCTGAGATTTTTATTGTAGTTATGTGATGAAACTAATCTGAACATTGATGTAGGTGGGGCTGGGGGCCTAGTGGCTTGAACTTCACAACTAGTGACAAAGGATAGGGCACCCAGGGCTTTTTATCAGCTTGCTCGGATCTCAGACAAAGGGCAGAAGAGGAAGCCAGAGAGAGGCTGTTAAATCTGGAAGCAAACACCAAAAATAGAGCCAGACTCTTTATGACACTATTGACAAGGAAGGCTGAAATTGAAAATTGAAACAATGCACAGATTAAATACCTAAATTACTAGAAGAAATTAGTAAAAATTTCTAGATGCAAAATCTACAGACAAGTTCAATTGTATTTCTACAGACAAGCAGTGACCATCAGAAATTTAGATTTAAAAAGATATTTGCAACAGCATCCAAAATATAAACTACCTAGAAATAAATCTAACAACAGTATAAAATTTTTTCAAAGAGAAAAATTACAGAATTTTAATGAAAGATATTTTTTACAGATCCAATAACCAGCTGTTCAGATTTGCCCAAATTAAACTCTATTCAAAACCCTTCGAAGGTTTCTTATGGAATAGAGAAAGATGAGTGTTAAATTTACAAGAAAGTAAAAATTTCTCCAAATATTTTTATAGATATCAAGATATCTCTTGTTAGTCAAGAAACTCTAAATGAATAAATAATAAACCCAGATTTAGGTGAATCCCTAATATAAGTGTGTATTTATTAAGCCTGAATGAAGTTGGTGCTTAAACCTCACAGGTTTATTTCTGCTTCACACAACATGACCAGTGAGAAAGTGGAAGGTGTCCCACACTACCCAGGTCACTCAGGGACTGGCGCTGACAGTGGATACATCATCCACGATGGATCCCAGCAGCAGGGGAAAATGTAGCTGGAAGTGGAGTGCTGGTTTCTCTATTCTTTGGTTAACAGACACAACTTATTTTCCTCTCACAGCCATTGGCTGACACTTGGCACATGGCTGTGCCTAACAGTGAGAGACCACAGAATGTGGGAAAGCAAACAGAATTGTTGATATGCACCATGGGCCCTGCAAAGGGTTTCATAAATTGAACATGTTCATAGCCTCAGACAAAAGTTTATATTATCAAGAAACTTGCACCTATGCACTGGAAGCAAAGCCAAACCTGTTTTAATAGCATTGTTTATAATGGCAACAAAGTTAAGAACAACCCAGCCATCCATCAACTGCAGAGTGGTTAAATAAGTTATAGAGTACCACAGTGAAATACTCATGTAGAGTGATAGCTTGAGCCAGTTCATTCTGTCTTGCCAAAGCCAAT